TGATCATTTGTCAAGTGACAAAACCATGCCTGCTAGATCATGGGAAAAAAAACCTTAAAATTTGCCTTGAAAGATGTTATCTTGCTTCCAGGCTATAATTTAGTATAGCATATTTTCTGGAAAGAACCCGATAAGGATTTTTGAAAGTTTAAGTAATGTTAAGCAAAGCTTTCTTCATACTTTCAAGCCTGTAACAGTGAATTGCTACTACAGTACAACATTTTAATATTTTTCTTTCCAGAACTGTGATAATCTGTGATAATATTATAACAAATGCAACAGCAGGTTGAGATAAGGATATTTATTCTTATAATTTATATATTATTGTTTTCCTCAGTTCCTCTGTAACTTCTGTGACCTCTAGAGGCCAGAGCTAGAACAATACCCAGAATGTCCAAATGAAGATTGAATTCCAAAATCTACCTCATGAAAAGACTTTCAGCCCAGTAATTTTAGCATTCACCCCTTTAACTCCCTCGATGTTCTCTATGAGATCTGTAATTTCTGAACACTGAAGAATATTACTCTACTGATACTTATTATTTTAGAATTTTAGTAATATGTTTATAAACAGAATCATCAAACAAGGAATAAATGCATGTCTATCACTTGACAAAATTTAAAAATAAACAAAAATAAAATAAGTAATAAATAAATAAAATTAATAAATTACAAAGAATACAAAAACAAAAACAAAGAAACAAAAGCTTAAATCGACTACTTTTTCAACGGTCAGTTTTCTACATTTCTGTTTCCAAGAGCTTTGACTATTCCACATTCAGTTATTTAAATAGGCTATAATTATCACTTGTTCTCTAGCAGCAGTGTTAAAAAGAAATCATATTCTGAATAGTTGGGGGGGGGGAGAGAGAGAACCTGAGAATTTTTAGAAATCCATCAATAGTTGATGAATTTTAGAAGACCACTGGGAAACCAGAACATCCCAGGTCAGTAGGTAGATCAAGAAGATAAACAAGCAACATAAAAGGCAATAGCAAACCCACTTCTGTCTTGTCAAGAAAATAACATGGGTGTGTTTGTCCAGTGGGTATTTTATCTTAACTCAAGAGAAATTTTAGCTTCATTGAACCAATCAATATTTATTTCATTCATATTAATTCTGAGTATATTTATAATAATAATAATAAAGTTGAAAGGGACCTTGGAGGTCATCTAGTCCAGGGCTTTTCAACCTTTTCACCCATTGTACCACTTTTAGGATATGGCAACATCCAAGTATCACCAGTCACCTAGCAAGGTGTCAAAAACTTGATGATCAAAAAAAAAAGGAAAAAAGTGATAAAGTACAGGTAGTCCTCAACTTACTACAGTTCACTTAATGACTGTTCAAAGTTACAATGGCACTGAAAAAAGTGCCCCCCACGCCACAGCCGAGCAAGACACCTGCCTGCCCACCTGGGAACGCTCTTCCTCCTGTCCGAGGTTTTCATTGTTGTCAGCATTTCTGTTGAGGATAGGTAGCGGGGGTGGGGGTGTTTGGTTTTTATTCCCCCCCCCCCGTCTGCTGGGTGGTTGCATCAGGTTTTGGTCACTTTACATGACCCTGGGACACTGTGACCGTCATAAATATGAATCAGTTGCCAAGCATCTGAATGTAAATCACAAGACCTGATACTGCAATATTCCAGCTGATTGGTGCTTCTTCTGGGCTCAGCAGAAGCACCAGGATCAGCGCCGAGCTCCAGCTGGAGCCTGGCGCTGATCCTGGCTCTTCCATTGAGCCCTGACAGCCCTGCAGCTACAGCCATTTCTCACTCAGACTTATGCAGTGCTGCGCCGGTTCAGCTCATTCCCCTCCCCCACTACCACTTTTCTAGGATGGTCGCATACCACCTGCCAGGTACCAATGTACCACAGGTGGTACCCGTACCACTGGTTGAAAAGCCCTGATCTAGTCCAACCCCTGCTCAGGCAGGAAACCCGATACCATTTCAGACAAATGGCTGTCCAGTCTCTTCTTAAAAAGTTCCAGTGTTATACATAGGGAACCAATTTAAGAAGTTGGCTTAATTTATTCACCTGTTGCTAATTAGGGTATATTTGTATGCCATTTTGATCAACATCCTAAGGGCCATAGGACTTATTGATATTCATCACTTCTACCCCTTAAAGAGCCACTCAGTCCCCAGTTTTTGTATCAACATGAGTGGAACTGAGACAGGATAGTTCTGGATCCAAAAGATTTCAATTCCAACACCTCCTGGGTCCTTTAAGTAATCCCTGCTAAAGGAATATTTATTCCAACCATCATTAATAAACCATTAAATTATTTTTAATTCTGGTAATCAGAGGAAGAAATGGAGGAAGTAAATCCAGAAATGCAAAGAATTGTCTATTTTCTCACTTCTATTTGTTCCAGTTTCACAGGAGGTTATTGGAGAACATTCTAAAATATACTCTATGATGCCTTTAGCACTAAACAATGAAAATATTTCTAATGTATCTTCATATAATAATTGTCCAAGATAGTTTAGAGCTATTCAACTTCAATAAAAAACCAATATCGAACAAATACTAAAGCTAAAAACAGTAATCTCAATAAAACTATCTAAACATCCAAAGCAAAGAATAATCATATCAAAATTACATACATGAAGAGACGGAGGAGGAGAGAGTGAGAGAGAGATTGAGGGGGTGGGTCTTTAAATTGTATTACTACTAGAAAAAAATTTGAAATGTATTTTTATTAAGGTACATTATTTATATAAGTTTGAGGAAATTTGCAAAAAGACATGGGCAGATCATTGTTAAAACAATGATGGTCCCAGGCAAATCATACTTAGAAAAACATTATAGAAGTACAGGGCTATCACAAAAAAGTTCTTGTCTTTAATACCTTTTGCTTTAATTCTTTTGTCAGTCTCTGCCTTAGATTCTAACAGAATAGAAAAGCTGATATAGAAATACCAGTAGGTGATCCTTCAGATATTGTGGCCCAGGATATGTAGACCTGTAGCTATCAGTACTGACTTGCATCTGGGAACTAGTGCATATCTGTTAACCTTCTAGATCAACAAATTTTAAAACTTTCTTAGAGCAGCTTTCATAATAAAACCTTCATTGTATTCCAGCAGCGTATGGTATAAGAATGCTAATTGTTAGTGCATGTCCTTTTTTTTTTTTTTTGGTGCTACCTAGGGTGTGGAATAATCTAGAGCAGGGGTGTCAAACTGCTGGCCCATGGGCCGGATGTGTCACAGGGAAAAGCCACGCCCACCCCATTGCCAGCAATGGCAAAACCGTCCCAATACGTTGCGCGATGTCACATGATGTCGCGAGTTTGACCTGTCTGATCTAGACTAGAGTACAAAAATGTGGCAGAAATGAGTTCCAAATGCAGTTACATAGCTGGCTTTGCCATAGTTTCCTGATTTTCACACAAATCTAAGCCATATACCTCCATTTACACATTACAGCGCACAATAAGTTAAGCCAAAACTAAACAAATTACATAATGATTGAGTACATGTATGAATCTATCTGATTCACTTTGGATTGGCTAGCTATTTTAGGAATTAGAAATGGGCTAATTCTGATAATTGGGTTGAGTTTACATGTCCTGCAAAGCCAGAATGTGGTATGGTTAGTTTGGACTGAATCTGTTGCATTAACCCGAAACTAGGATTTAAAAACTGAGTTTAAACTAACATGGAACTCATCAGTGGTGTTTACTGAATAAACAGTAGCTAAATGGGTGTTTATACAAGTATGAGAAAATTTGCAAGAAGTTAAAGATCTCCAATCAGAGCTTAAATATCTGTTAATGAATGCTAAAGTCTTAAAGCAAAATCTATAGCTGAACAATATCTTTCTTATGATCAAACTGTTTCACTTTAATCAATTAAAGGTGTTAATTTTGTGTTTTCATTCTCACTACAAACATTATGTCTGACTTTATGCAGGTAAGTAAAATGCATTGTGAAGGAAAGATTTTAATCTCTTTTAAAATATATCAGACAGTTATATCAAGTCTCTGAGACCCTTTACATAGCAAAGAATCAGGACAGCTGACCATAGTCATTTTGTAGCAAGGCAATGAAAAAATAATTTTATATGTGCTCTTGAGCCCACTTACAAATCCAGTTTAAATTCTTTTTAGCATCACACTGCATATATATTTACATGCTGATTGCATTCCATCCATAGGTCTATAGCCATTTTTAGCTTCTAAAAATGCACGTTATGATTCCACTGACTTCTGAAATATATCCTACTGAATTGAGTGGGGCTTCCTTTTGAACTAACTTATATAAAATTACATTGCAAGTCATTGAACAGAATAACTTGCTCTGAATTATGTTGGTTACCCAAATGGGTAGATGTAGACTATGTAGTTGTATTTTCTTCATCTCTGATTTTGTATCACCTAAAGTATTTGAAGTTTGCACGTTTTGTTGCATTTTGATTGGTCCTAATAAATATTTTATTCATCAATGTCTTTTGCATTTATTTTTCCACTTTCCTTTTAAAAGGAAATATAATAGCAGAAAGCTGAGTTCCACAAATAAATAAAACATTATTATAACTGAAATCAAAAACTGCTTATTTATCTAAATTCTTTTTTTTTCTCTACTTGGCACATTAAAAAAAGTCCTATCATCATCACTCCCACTATCCATTAAAAAAAAATCTAATCACTACCGCTGTTCACCAAGTTTTATTGAAAATAACTTGTGGGGAACTTTGTGATGAATTTATAAATAGAAAGCAGATATTACATACATATGAAATGGGGATAGTAGTTGTGGGATTAAATGGAGAGATGTGCAAAGATCATATGAAACAATTCAAAAGAGTTTTGACCATTTAAGGTACCGTGAGTCCTTTCTGAAGCCGCTGGTATAGATTAAAACAGATTTCTATCTCGGCAGCAGCCAATTTGATTGTAAAAGGAGAGGCGGGGGCGGGAGGGCGTTGCAGGACCTTGGAGAGCACCAGGCGCGCGTTGTTGCGCGCGCACGTTAAAAGCAGCCCGCGGAGTCTGATACGCAGTAGAACCATCTGCAACGGAGCGGGAGGCAGAACTTGCATTGAGCGATAGTTGCAGATTGGACAAAAGTGTTAAGAAATGCTGCTGTTTGGGAGATGGCCGGAAGACCCGCGTTCAACTTCAATCGGGCTTAGTTAGCTGCACGCTCAGTAGCCGGCAGCGACTTCTGGAAGGCTCCGCTGCCAGATCTACCCCAACAGTGAGTGACTTTCCTTGGAGCTCCCCCGAAGTCTGTGGTCTCCTGTCTTTGGATCTGGTTCGGGCGTCCGGCAGCTTGGATGTCCTCTCGCCTCAGTTCCCAAGAAGATCAGCTGTGAGCTTCCTCCAGCTGCCACTGCTCCGTACCTTTTCTTCCCAAATTCCCTGCCAAAGATCTCGCAGCCTAGGTAGACTCTCTCCCGCTTGCCGGCTGAATGGAATCCTTCCTTTAACTGGCGACTTCTGAAAAGAGAGACCTTTTTTTTTTCTTGAGTGGCAGCTTGTTATGTGGAGCTGAGAAGACACACAAATTTCCCTTCTGCCATGGGATGCTCGCTTGCAGCTACTGATAGCATAAAAGAAGCAGAAGCAGGAGGAGAACTCAACGCTTTCCCCAGCCTGCTAGAAGAGAGGCTGTTAAGCAATGGCACCAACGAGTCCCTGCAGGAGTTCTGGAGAAGCTTCCTCAAGCTGGAGAGAGCAGATGGACTACAGGGAGGCAGTTCTATCGTCCTCCGGATCTTCATCTCCATCATCTACTCTGTGGTGTGCGCCCTCGGTCTAATTGGCAACGTGCTGGTGCTCTACCTGATGAAAAGCAAATGGAAAAAGTCTTCCATCAATCTCTTTGTGATCTGTTTGGCAATGACTGATTTCCAGTTTGTCCTGACTCTGCCCTTCTGGGCAGTGGAGAATGCTCTGGATTTCACCTGGCTCTTTGGCAAAATCATGTGTAAGATGCTTTCCTATGTGACAGCCATGAACATGTATGCCAGTGTTTTCTTTCTCACTGCCATGAGCGTTGCCCGCTACCATGCAGTGGCCTCTGCCCTGAAAAGCAGGAAACGAGGAGGGCTCTTAGATGGCTGCTCTTCAGCTAAATGGTTGTGTGCACTCATATGGATCCTAGCCATTCTAGCTTCTCTGCCCAATGGCATCTTCTCCACCACCTCCACTATCTTTGGTGAGGAGTTCTGTCTGGTCAAGATACCTGATAGCCAAGGCAACAATACTCCATTCTGGTTGGGGCTCTACCATGCCCAAAAGGTCCTGCTGGGCTTTCTGTTGCCTTTGACCATCATCACCCTTTGCTACCTTTTGCTGGTGCGCTTCATTAGTGACAGACATGTGGGTGCCGGTTCCTGTGGGCCAAGTACTAAGCGCCGATCCAAGGTGACCAAATCAGTGACTATTGTGGTACTGTCCTTCTTCCTTTGCTGGCTGCCCAACCAGGCACTCACTACCTGGGGTGTCCTCATCAAACTGAACCTTCTGCACTTCAGCCATGCTTACTTTCTCTCTCAGGCATACCTCTTCCCCATCACAGTCTGCCTGGCACATTCCAACAGCTGCCTCAATCCCATCTTCTACTGCCTCATGCGCAGGGACTTCCGTAAAGCCCTCAAGAAGCTGTTGTGGAGGATTGCTTCACCCTCCACCACCACCATGCGCCCATTCACGGGTACCAGCAAGCCTGAGCAGGAAGAGCAGGTACTGAAGAACCTAATGACCATTCAGCCTGCAAGCAGTTCTGCTCCTCCTCTTCTTCCTCCTGCTAGAGCAGATGTTCCTGATGCCATCTGTTATCCCCCTGGGATGGTGATGTACAGTAGCTGCTCTAATATTGTTCCTTCCATCACTTCCATTGAGCTGTATTGTTGAGTCTGAGAGACTGACACCAATGAAGAAAGAAATCCATTCTGTCCCCTGAATCAGTAGATGTGGTTCCTGTGTTGAAGCATTCCTGGAACTGCCTTATTGTGGGATGGGGGAGTTGGTCAGTGTCTGAAGAGCCGTACTTCTTGGATGGTTGGGTGTTTATCAACATGGAAGAAAATGAGGACAGTGTATTCTAGTACTCAGGGAAGAAATGTGGGAGCATGGGGAAATTTATGAAATGACTTCACTTGGAATGCCAACTGCTGCACCTTAATAAAGGTAAAAGTGGGGAAAGTGGAGACAAGAGTGATCAAAGTCTGAAGTAACTTCAACAAGGGGAAAGCTTGTATTAGGGGAGGGATGTGGAATTAGGCATGGAAGGGAAGAAGTAGACAGAGAAAATCAGGATTCTAGACAATGACAAAGGATTGTGGAAGATAAAAAAAATCTAGATAGTGACATTGACACTGTGATGGCCATGACTTTGAACAATTTTATTTGTGAAGAATAAAGCTAGGCATGATGAGTCCACATATCTTCAAAAGCCATGTTTCTGAATACAAACCGCCCAGAAACAACAGCAAGAAAAGCCCTTGCTGTCATATCCTGCTTATGAGCTTTCCATGGGCATCTGGTTTGCCATTAGAGTAACTGAATGTTGAATTAGATGAATTTTTGATCCAATCCAGCAGACAGGCTACTTTTATGGGTTTATGAGACTATAATTTCTATAATAGTAGGGTGTGAGTGTTTTAAGGAAGTTTTTTTTAAGATTAGTCCAAATAAAATAATATCTGCATTTCCAATTATGGTGTACTCTCTGTTCATTGGAATTAAGAAAGACTTCTCCACTTAACTCTGTTTCCTTTCCTAGTAAGAAAAGTGAAAGGCTAAGTTGAATGATGTGGAATGCATTCATCCTAGTTAGAGGGGATGATCCGTAAATAGAAAAACAAAGCATGTTTATTGTTGATCCTCATTAAAATAATTCCATCTTCATAGGATGGAACCCGGGATTTTAAGATGAACCATGTTTGGAAATCATGTATTAGGACTAAGCTCTTTTTAGTTTCTTCAAACTATAGAAGAAGAGAGGGAGGGCTGGAGGAGTGAGCGAACAAAAGAGGGAGAAAGCAGCTCTGCTAAATTGTTCCACTCTTGAATCTAAGATTGAAAACAGGAGAAATTGTCCTTGTAACTTCAGAAAGCTATTGCTCTGCCACTGGGCCATGTGTCTATCATTTTCTTTGAAATGATTTCATTTGTAAAACTGTGGGGAAACAGATAGGACTTCAAAAGACCGATAAAAGTCAAAGGCAGATTATGAAAGAGGCTTTGAAGAAAAATCCCAAGAACTGGTATTAACAAACTGTAGCTGGCAAGCATGGATTTAAGCCAATCAAGGACCCTCTTGCTACTTCAGGCTGGTGTCTATTCTGTTTAGGTAGATGACACTTTTGTTTGATCCCAGCATTTGCTAATATAGCTCCTTGGAAGATGGAAATGCTATATAGTTGCTATTATTCTGAGTATTGGCAGAATATGCCATAATTTATCCACCTAGAACAGGGGTGTCAAACTGCCGGCCCACAGGCCGGATGTGTCATCCCAAAACCACACCCACCCCATTACCGGCAATGGAGGAAAAAGCTCCGATATGTTGCGCGACGTCATGTGACGTCACGAGTTTGACATGCCTGATCTAGAAAGATGGTCCTTAAGCTTCAATTCCAGATAATGATCTTTAGAGCTCCATTCCCCATTTAGCATCAATCGTGGTGACATCAACTTCCCCTGCAGCTGGCAATATTTGTACCTTTTAGCAAATAACTCCTGTAAATTGAAGGGCTGGCCTAATAATTAAGGATGGATCATACTTGACTGAAGAAAGAAGAAGGCTTTATAGTATATTTTCTGTATCAACACTGTTTCATTACATGTGAACTATTAAATATCTGTATCCATATCAAGCATTGTCATGTCTTTACAAAACAAGGTGGCTTGCAGCTGGAAAAGTTTGGTCATGGAAAGAAGCACTTATGTAACTTACTGGAAAGAAGCTAAGAACTATTTTTTAGTTCTGTATATAGCTAGTAATTTCAAGTGTTTTTGTCATTACTATGAATAGGGATGCCAATCATATAAAGCTGAACTAGAAAGGGAAAATTTAGTTATTCTGATAATGAATGCAAGAATGCAACCCTTTTCTTCCTCCCAGGAGTGCACAAGTAAAGAAGGGAAAACACAGAAAATGGTGGCTCCTACTCTACCCTGTAATTTTTCATGCATTTTGCAACACACAGTCTTAATCAGGAGGAAGGGTAATTTCCCTTTGTCCACTGCAGTCTTATTGAATCTGAATTGCTCTAATTTTACACTAAAAAAGTAATCTGAAGAAGTTTCTCAGCCATCTGCAAATGGCACCCCACATTTCAAGGTTAAAGCAAACACTGTGGACATTTCAGTTTTTGGTCATGGGATAAGAAACCCATTCAGGGGAATACAGAAAGTCCTGGGGTTTTACTGAACAGACCGTTTCTATGTCACCAATCTAGAGGCATTGTGCTGCTTTCCTGTGAATGTCATCCCTAGTTTCTGGAACGATTGGGGAAAATGATGGGAAAACATCAAGAAGACGCTGTCTCAATGGGTGAGACAGATAATTGCATGATGAATTCATAATATGAACAATAGAAAGTTACAACATTAAGAGAACCAGTACAGATTCAGGTGTTGGGCTAGAACCATAAAGGTCTAAGTTCAAGTCCCTCGCAACCTAAGAAATTCACTGGGTGAATTTGAGCTAATCTCTCTCAACCCTGCCTACCTCATGGAGTGCTTGAGCAGATGCCCTGGATAATTTGCCTTTAGAGGGTACATCTGCACCTGACATTCCATTTCAAAGATCCTCTTAAGGAATCAGTTTCTACTCCTGCCCTGCTACTCAGGGAAATGAGGAGAGGGGTGTGTGATTGCATGGTGTTTCCATCATGCAATCTCCAGCTCTGATTTATTTTGACATGGAAGGGCAATTGAGAAGCACAGGCAAGCATTTTACCCAGGAGGTGAACCATAGACTCCTTAGCACAACGTATCTCAGCCTTGTGAGCTTTAAGATGTGTGGACTTCAACTCCCAGAATTCCCAATCAGCATACTGGCTGGGAAATTCTGGGAATTGAAGTCCATACATTTTAAACTTTAAAGATTGAGAAACACTTCCTTAGCCTTAGCCTTTCAGTTAGATTCTGAAGAGGATCTCCCTTTGTTGGGGTTTTAAATAAAATTGCAGAACCTAAACACCAATCCAGGAGAAAAATTCTCAGTTGTTTCACAACCAAAGATGCAGCCCTGCCTATTTTATCCAGGAAAAATATGCAGAAGCTTCTGCTGGTCTTAAATTAAGCTGTAAGCAGGGCTGCCTTAGTACAGAAATCTCTCTTGGCGGCACTTATATTGGCTCCTTTTGCCCTTTCCTGAATGTCTTCTGGGGTGCCTTGTTTTCCAGCCATCTCTGTCTTCTATTAGGCAGGACTTTGGGGCAAGATGCAAGAACCTTTATAAGTTGAATTAGCAAAAGCAAAACTGGCAGCATTCCTGTTTAGCACCTTTTAAAGCAATAGAGGTCTTAAGATAATTAAGTCTAGAGTTGAACATTAGCTGATAGCATTTTAGAGCATCACTTTGAGAACAAGTAGCTGGCAGCAACAGGCCAGCATTAGCTGACCTTGGAACTCTAAACTGTGTCAAGCCTCATTAGCACTAGGAGGGGAAACCATCAGGAAATGCCAAGGCCATGGACTTGTCCCAGAAGTTAAATCAGTTCTGTATCACTGCCAAGAAAATTATATGGAACATCCATGAAGCTACCAGCAATTGGGTTTGACTTGAAGAAGCCTTGCACACAGCATCAAAATGGTGAGTACTGGTGGGATTGAAACTGAAACAGAAACACTGAAAGGGAAGAAGGGAAAGTACAGGTAATCCTCAACTTACAACAATTCATTTGAAGTTACAATGGCACTCATAAAAGTGATTTATGACCGTTTTTCACATTTATGACCATTGCGGCATCCCTATTGTCACGTGATCAAAATTCAGGGGGAAAGCTTATATTTAAAAATAGTTCAGTGAAGTGAATAAGAGAGCAAGATGCATGTGCTCAGCAAATTGAGTGTCAGATATAAGTGAGAGCAAGGAAGAAGAGCTAAAAAAAATCCTCTGCCTGAGCCTCATTATAGCATAGCCCAGTGTTTTGCCCAACTCTTAGTAGAGATGCTTTGTTAGTTAACGCAAATACTAAAGATACAGCAACCAAATAGCATATAAGTACATTTAACCTGATTGTGCCCAAAAGCAAGAATGGGCAATTGTGGCCCCTTTACGACCTGTAAATTTCAACTGTCAGAACTGGCTCAGGAATTCTGGGAGTTGAAGTCCACAGATCATAAAGGTAGTTTGCCCACTCCTACCCAAAATACATTAATTAGATGGCCAGAAGGATCCCCCTTTGCCGCAATATCCTCTCCAGCACTTTGCTGCTATCTAGGACAGGTGCACAAAATTATGGGGCTGCAAGCTACATTGGCCCTTGAGTAGTCTGCCAGTGCTCTCATTCCAAAAACAAGGAGAGGTCAGTACAAGAAAAAAATACTTTAATTGTATTTAGTTAATTAAAATTAAAGATAAATAATAGGATTCCTCCCAGTAATTTTTCCTGAAGCCACATTAAAAGCAAAAATTCAGTAGCAACAGATAGAATGCAACTATTTTGCTCTTTTGACTCTTCTCAGGATCAGATATTTTGGTATCTCTCCTCATCTCCCTGGAATGTTTCTTCTCAGCTCCTTTCCTGCCCAGTTCCTGCAATTCTATTTCCTGTTGTTGCCCCATCTCACTTGCCCCAACCCTTGTCTTACCTATTACCCCTTTCCTTCGGTTTCTACTTCTCTTAACTGTTTACCTTCAACTGTAGGACCATCAATCTACTTGAAAAGTATCTTCAGTTGCTACTGCATTAGGAACCTGAAGTGTAAGTCAAAGTAGATATTATTAAGACAAAAGCTGTGTAGAGTGATGGACATTCCTCCAGTGAGTGAATTACCCTGGTGTTAGCCATTCAAGATAGTGCAGACAAGAGGCACATCAAAGAATATTAACTTTGTCTTTATTGTAGAGTTACATTAATAGAACCTTGCAAGTCTGAAAATATTCCTCCCTTCCTTTTACTCTACAGAAAACTAGGGAGGCTCGGGTTAGGGTTAGGGTTTCTTCTGAAATGTTTCCCATGTTTTTTTTTCTCTTCTGTGAACCAAGATACCTTTTGCAGAATAGTTGCTTAGTCTGTGGCTCTTCCTTCTGTCTCCAAGGTCATTTCCATATACCATTAAACACATTCCAGCTCTGTTGAATACAGTTTATCTAAGATAGAGGAAACTTGCAAGCATTTTTCAAAAAGTAAAGGAGAAAACATTGGATACAGGATCTCTGCTGTGCATGGTTATTTTCAAAATAATTCTAATTAAAAAAAAATTACCCAGTATGTTTACATTTCAGATTCTTAATATTAGAACAGAAGATGGTTTGTTCTTGGCTAGATTCTTAATCAAGGATATTTTGAAAGAGAAAATTCTGAAACAAATGCATGATTCTCAACACCAGCTAATGGTTTGCAAACAGGAGTTGAGTAAACAAAGTGGAACTGTTGCTGAAATATGCTCTTGCTTCTGGTTTGTGGTGTGATCAGCCTTCACATTGTATGAGGATTCATCTTGATCAAAAAGTCCTGCCTCTGCTTCAAAGAATGTATGATGCTGTCATGCTGGTACAATGATACAGTGAATAAAAATTGATTTCTGTGTGTTGTCAATGTATCCAGTTTGATGCATTTTCAGAGCCAGTTTGGTCTAATGCAGGGGTAGGCAAGCTTGGCTCTTTTATGACTCGTGGATTTTAACTACCAGAATTCCTGAGCCAGCATGCCTCAGCTTGGAAACTCTCCCTTTCCCCTCAGCATGGCTGGCTCAGGAATTCTGGGAGTTGAAGTCCACAAGTCATAAGAGCCAAGGTTGCTTACCCCTGGTCTAGTGGTTTAGGCACCAGACTAGAAAGTGGGAGACTGCAAGTTCAACTCCTGCCTTAGCCATGAAAGCCAGCTGGCTGATTTGGGGCCAGTCACTCACTTTCTCAGTCCAACCCACTTCACAGAGTTGTTGTTATGGGGAAAATAGAAGAAGGAAGATGTGTTGGATATGTTCTCTACCATAAGGGCAGGAAAATAAATAAATAAATAAATAAATAAATAAATAAATAAATAAATAAATAAATAAATAAATTTATTTTCCCATTCCCCTATTCAGAGGAGTTTGCGGGCAAAATTCTGGTGATGCCTTTCTTTCACATAAGTCATCTCACTTTTTGTGTGTCAGATTGTTTTTGAAAAACTTACTAATGCTGAGTTTTGCCAATAAAATTATACTGATATGTATTGATCAATTTGCAACATTTACCAGGAAACATTAATGTCAGCTGCATATTTTCATCAAGCATTTATGAATATGAAATATTTTTCATAGCATGGATGGGAGCCACCTTAGCAAGTATTTCTAGAATTTCATCCTGATCTACCATATTTGTGGACAGAAAATCAATTCTGGAAATATTAAACTCAAAATTCTAGCACTACTGAAGAAATTTTAAAAGAACTCCAGCCAAGCATAACACATTTGTTTTCCTTCTTCATATATGGCTTCCCTGTGCTGAATTAGCAACATATAGAAGAAAGCATGTATTTTTATATATACACAAATGATCATAACAATGTATTATACTACCCAATTTCCCAAATCAATTTCCTCTTTAAGAGCTTCATGATGCATAACATCTTATAAATGCATGTATAGCATATGCTGATACCTTAA